GAGCTCCTCAGTTAAGAGCATTGGCTGCTCTTCCAGAGGACCTGGGTTCAATTCCCAGCACCCACATGTCAGCTCACAACTATCTGTAACTCCTGTTCCAGGGGATCTGACACCCTCACACAGACATACATGCAGGCAAAACACTGATGTACATAAAATAAAAATAAATCATTGAAAAATATATATCTGAAGAGTGAGAGAGAAAAAGGTCTTAACAGAAGTAAAAGTGAATCCCCACAGCTCCAGTGGAGAATGTGCCCATTAGCCCGTGTAGATGCTTCTCTCGAAACAGGGGACATGGCTTTGCACCCTTTGAGTGTGGGCTGTGCAGCGACTTGTCAAGAAGATAGTGTAGAAGGAGCAAGGACAGTGTACAACAGAGAACTGTGTGTGCCACCTCCCCATCCAGGTGTCAGGGTCAGCACCAAGAGTGGGAAGTGGGTAGTGGGTGAAAAGTGACGAGAGACACTGCTGTGTGGTCTTCCTTCCAGGTCCATAACTCCAGGGTGAGCATGAGAAGAACTGGCAAGATCCCAGGTGAAGAGTTAGAGCATCTAGTTAGTGCTCCACGGGCTTCTCAGCTTCCTTAAAAGAAAGAGAAATGAGAAAATGTCAAGTCAAGGGATAGGACATGTATAATGTGGTATTCAGAGCAGACAAAAAGAACATTAAATAAAAATTACAAAATTTTTAAAGCATAGATAACTAGAGGGCTAGGGTCATAGCTTAGTGGCAAAGCTTGTGTAAGGCCCATCCATTCCCAGCACCACAAAATGAATAAACAAGCAATAAATTAATCCACACACTGTCGGCTAGCTGCTAGTTACGTAGTTTGCACTTTTGTTGTTGTTGTTGTTTTTCGAGACAGGGTTTCTCTGTGTAGTTTTGGTGCCTATTTTGGATCTCACTCCGTAGACCAGGCTGGCCTCGGACTCACAAAGATCTGCCTGACTCTGTCTCCCGAGTGCTGAGATTAAAGGTGTACACCACCACCGCCTGGCTTGCACTTTTTTTTAATTGTAATTAGTTTTTAAGAGACAGGTTCTTTATTTACCTTTAGCTTGCCTTGAATTCATGATCCTATTGCTTCAGCCTTTTAAGTGCTGTGATTATATGCTTGCCTCATTGTGTCCAGCTTTCCTTAATTTTGGCTGTGATCTGTCTTCTGTAAACATTCCTTTTTATATTTAATTGTTTTATTTTTTTAAGATTATATTTTCCCTTTCCTCCCTCCAAACCCTTCCATGTATACCCACCCACTGTTCTCTTTCAAATTCATGACCTCTTTTTCTTGTTACATTTGTGTGTGTGTGCCTAAATGCATAAATATAGCCTACTCAGTCTGTATAATGTTACTTGTATGTATATGTATTTATGGCTGATCATTTGGTAGTGGATAACCAATTGGTGTGTTCTTCCCTGGGAAGACTCTTTCGCCTGCTCTCAGCATCCTTAGTTGCCTGTAGTTCTTAGGGGAGCATTCCTCCATCTACATTAGCATGTCTGTTGCTGCTGTCCTTGTTCAGGTCGTGTTTAGCCATGTGGTGAGACTTCATGGGTGTAGCTTCTGACATTTCTAGGAGACCCAGCTTTACAGCACACTCCTCAGTCCTCTGGGTTTTACAGTCTTCCTGCCTCCTCTTTTGAAACAGTCCTGAGTGTAAACATTTCTTTACAAGTTAACACCAGTAAAATGATTTTACAATGATTTGTTTCAGCAAAACATTAAGTATTGTTTCATGTTCTCTTAAAAGCACACTAAGATAGGCTGTGTGTGTGTGTGTGTGTGTGTGTGTGTGTGTGTGTGTGTGTGTGTGTGTGTGTGTGTATGTATAGTTTTAGAGTCAGGGTCTCTTATAGCCCAGGCTGGCCTGGTACTCACTATGTAGTTGAGGCTGCCCTTGAACTCCGGGTCCTTTTGCCTCTACTTCCCAAGTGCTGGGATTAGAGGCACATCACACCATACCCAGCTTTAGACTTATTGTGAAAAGATTTAATTTTTAGGAAGTCCTGCTTTAAATAAATGTTAATTTTAAATTTGTGAAAATTGTGAAATAGTCATGTTTGTGCCTTTTAAAGGGTTGTGGAACTGTCCAGAAGAAAGATAAGGATGACCTATTATCTAAAGCAGAGGTTCTCAACTTTTCTAATGCCGAGACCCTTTATTACAGTTCATCATATTGTGGTGACCCCTCCAACCACAAAATTATTTTTGTTGCTACTTAATAACTGTAATTTTGCTTCTTTATGAATCATAATGTAAATACTTGTTTTCTGATGGTCTTAGGTGACCTCTGTGAAAGGGTTATTTGACCCACAGGTTGAGAACCACTGATCTAAAGAATGTTGGGCCACTGGGCATAGTAGTTGTAGATTTAAACATGAAAGTCACCAGAAGGATTTTAATGTCTTCTGTATAGAATAATCCCCAGGTTTTGGACTAGGATGGCAGGTTAAATGGCAAAAAGAATAGTGGAGATCAAGAATCTAGGAGGAATGGATAGAGTCACTCCATACACAGGGAGACTGTCTCTAAAGGGTCAGCACTGACTAGGATGGCCTTGAACTCATGGGAGGTTCTCTTGCCTCAGTTTCCAAAGTATCACATCAGAACTCTGACCCATCATGCATGACTCACACACCATTTATTCCTCTTTTTTAAAAAAATGCTTGTTTTGTGTTTGAAGGGCAGAGATCTCTTACAGACACTGCCCCAGGAGCAACAGTCAGTGTGTTCTGAAACCTCTCTTCATTTATTGTTGCAGTTAATAAAGACGGTAATTTTCTAGACAGACGTAATTTTCATCTTCCTTATTGTAATTTTATTCTGAGAACTTAATCTTTAAGGCCCAGTTAGATGTCTGGATATCTTCCAAAAATCTTTCTGTATTGTTGTCTGCATGCATAACCTAACTGTTGGTTATTTATTCATCTCTTGTGACAGTATAATAGTTTCTGTAGGAAGTCAGAAATTACCGTTTCAAGTACTTTGTTAGGGATGCTAGAGAAATGACTAAATGGTTAAGAGCAGTGGCTGCTTTTGCAGAGGACTCTGGTTTGATTCTCAGCATCAGCATGAAGGCTCACAACTATCTTGGGTTCCAGGGGATCTGAAGTCCTCTTTCTGACCTTTGTGGGTACCAGGCAGGCATGTGGTATGCATGCATACATTCAGGCAAATACTCATACACATAAAATAAATAAATTTTAAAATAAAAATACTTTCCTAGTACTATAATTTCTAGCTATTTAAAATGAGGCATTTGGTCTAAATAATGCTATATTACTTTTGAATTTTAATTGCACAGATAGTGTTTTATTCTGTCAGTCTTGTGAGGGGAACAAAGAGGGTGAATTCCAAATACTGTCTTAGTGTTTGATTTTTTTTTAAAGTTGTTAATTGAACTATGTACATAGTCAAGTGGTACTACATAGATTATACTGCAAGAAGGTAACTGTCTTCCATGCATTCTTCTTTTGCCTTAGTCCTTCTTCCAGTATCTTGTAACTTGCCTTGGGACTAAACGCTCTCCATTACTGTCCTGCTTCTCAGCGTAGCACAGCTTTGGTTTAATCAGTGATGTCAACACTGATTTTAGCTTTGCTCAGGGGGGCTTTGAATTTGCTGTGTGAGTGCAAATGCACTTGAAGTTCTGGTCTTCCTGCCTCTCCTTTCTGAATGCTAGGAGTACAGGTGTGTGCCTCTACTCCAGGCTTAGGTGCTGTTAGGAGAGTACTCTGATAACTGAATCACCCCTCTATCTACTGTTTTGTTCGTTTGTTTGGAGATGATGTCTTAGATAGTCTGGACTATGTAACTGACAGTGGTCTTGAACTTTGGCTCTGTTGCATAATGGCTGATTTATATTGCCTTTTTAAATGCATTTATTGCTGTTTTATGTATATGGGTATTTGCTTGATGTATGTCTGTAAACCACATGCATGCAGTGCCTTAGGAGGCCAGAAGAGGACATCAGATTCCCTGGAAGTAGAGAGACTCTTGTTAGCTGCCCCGTGGGTGCTGGGAGCTGAACCCAGGTCCTCCGCAAGGGCAGAGCAAGAGCTTTAACCATGCTCTCTCTAGCCCCTACATTGCTTTAAATACTGACATTTTATTTCTCCTTAAAAATGATTTTAGGTTTATTTATATCTGTGCATGTTTCCCTGTATGAGGAGGTCAGAAGAAGGCTGGTGAATTGGAGTGACTGACAGCTATGAGCCACCATTGGTGCTGGGACTAAACCAGGGTCCTCTGCAAGAACAAGTGTTCTTCACTTCTGAGCCATCTCTACATCCCCATTTTATTAATTTTATTAATACATTTTTTTCATGGCTTATGTATCTTCTAAACTTCATAGAAAAACTGTATATAAGCCTCTTATAAGTGTTTTTCTCATGTGGTCTAATATGCAGAGTGGTAGATAGTGTACGATATCACAGTCATGGTATCCAAGTGTTTTGTAGCATCGTGTGTCACCAGTGACTTCCCATTAATCTGAGTGGAGCTGGGCATACTGGCTCATGTTTGTAATCCCAGCACTTGGGAGGCTGAGGCAGGGAGATTCAAGTTCAAGACCAGCCTTGCCTACAAAAGTAGTAGGACTCTAAAAACAAAAATCTGATAAAACTTGAAAGACTTGGCAGCATTAGTTCAAGTTTAGAGGTTCCTAGATCCTCCAAGCTTAATTTTTAAAAGCAGTTATTTATTTTGAGGCCCCAGGGCCACTTTAAAACTTTTGTGAGGAAAAGTTGCCTCTGTGGCATTTATGTTCTGTGCGGGCTCTATTTGGCAAATGGGGATTGTTTGTTTAGCTCTCAAATATCAAAAATCTAAACATTGAGAGTTATAACAACAATATCTGTCTGTTTGTAGGGGCATGATTTTTTGTTTAAAAAAAGAGTATCTTCATTTTATAATAGTGTTTCTTTTGACGATTTTTCTGAAGAAAACCAAAGTTCGTATTATGCAAATGTAAAGACAGTGTGACTTTGCCTTGCAGTGCAATGCGTGTTTTACTCTCAAAATTGCCAAGACCATGGATTGTGGATGAGAAGAAAGATGATGGTTATACTGCATTGCACCTGGCTGCCCTGAATAATCACGTGGAAGTGGCTGAACTGTTGGTACATCAGGTGGGAGAGGCAGTCACGGTTGAGCAAACTTAGAACACTCCCAATTCTTTAGTTTATTTCACCAAGTGCATTTTATAGGCTGCAGTAAAACCTCCATGATGATGAAAACTGAAGCAATGTATTCTCTGCTTTTTAGCATTGGTTATTTTTGTTTGTTTGCATGAAACAGTCTTGCTATGTAGCCCTGGCTTAGCTAAAACTCAGGATCCTGCCTTAGCCTCCCGAGTGCTGGAATTGCAGGTATCCACCTCTCTGCCTGACTAACCCTGGCTCTCCACGCCTAGCCCCCTGCTTATTTGTGGGTTTGTGTTTACACCATGTTGCATGTGTAGAAGTCAAAAGACAATCCTCAGGATATGATTCTGTCCTTCCGTCATGGGAGTCTTGGAGATCAAAGTCATCTTTGCTGCATCTTGCAAGCTTCTCTCTAACACTGGCTTATTCTCTCCAGTATCCACATTTAAATAGACATTACGTGATGAGCTGAGAATCCAGTACCTCGTGACCAGTCAAAGGAACATAAATAAATATAATTAAAACAAACCAGAAATGTCTGTCTTCCAGAATACTCCATAACATACTAGAGTTTCAGCTCTGGCCAGTAGTCCAAGCAAAGGCACAGGTGACCGTCAAGAGTTGTGATTAGACTGGTCTTAAGACCTAACAGTTTAGGGGGCTGGAGAGATGACGCAGCGGTTAAGAGCATGGCTGCTTATCTAGAGGACCTGGGTTCAATTCCCAGCACCCATATGGCAGCTCACAACTGTCTGTAACTCCAGTCCAGGGAATCTGTCACCTTTACAGCAGTGCACATAAAATAAAGTATTTAAAAAAAATAAGACCTGCTAGTTTAAGATGTGCCTTTTGAAGCCTTGATTGTTTTAATTTTGATTTGTTATGCCAGGCACTGTATTTCTTAATCTTTCCACAAGCTCTGTGAAATCGGTCACACTTGTCACCATCATGGAACTGAAGAAAAGGGTAAATGGTGAGATGCTCGCAAGAGTGGTCTGTAAGTGGCAGAGCTTAGGCCAGAAGCGCCTTGGTGTCAAAATCAGCTCTTTTGTCCTTAGACCCTTCCCTGTGTGTCGGTATCAGCTGCTTTCAGGGTCTGTTAGCTCGTGGGCTCTGCTGAGCCTGCATAGAACTTCCTGCTTTACCTTGGCTAACTTGTCACAACTACTCAGATCACCTTCTCACTGAGTGAGGAAGTGCTTAATTATGCAGCAGAAGGAAGTGAACTTATCAAGTCACTAAAATAACTCTGAATCCTATATGGAGGCACAATTGCTTTTCAGAGGTGTTTATAGTTCACAGGAATTGCTCTCTCAGAGGATATCGAAAGAGAATAGTGTTCAGCTCCATAGTGTGCTTTGTCCGTGAGCTGGTGTGAGATAGTTACTATTCTACCTGTAGGTTTGCTGTCGGTCTCCTTTTCATTATCATATGAGAAGAGTGTCAGGGCAGCTTCCAAGGAGGAGACTGTGGTCAGTTGGCAGTGCGGTCTGTTCCTTGTGCATAGCTAACAGTTTGCATGATCTTCATTGTCGCCCATATGTGACCATTTTAAATCTCTTCGTTGTTAGGGAAATGCAACCCTGGATATCCAGAATGTGAACCAGCAAACAGCCCTACACCTTGCTGTTGAACGGCAGCATACCCAGATTGTTAGGGTAAAGTATTCATTCTTGTTAATTTTAGCTTATGATAGCTTTTTAACCATACTCCGGTTTAGAGACTTGTGAAAATTGAAATGATACAGTGTTCCACTTCAAAGTGACATAGTTCAAGGAACTTAAGAGTTTAGGGTAAGGCATTAATATCTAGTTCAAAGTCTTCATCATATTGTTCTTAAATTTCTGAATTCTCATAATGTTAAGTGAAAAAAATTTAAAGTAATAATTAATTTGAATAATTACATCCCTCTTAATGTATGTAGTTGATAGTAAAATTAAAAGCTTTGTCTGGGAACTTGCTTCTGCAACTTGAAAATTGAACTATATAGTTTTAATTTACTAATCTGGTGATTTCAAACAAAATACCTGAAAAAAGTATTGGTTTCAATATTTTTATGGAGCAGTGACTCTTAAAAGTTTGGAGACTGAAGTAGCTACCACAGTGTCACCTGGAAATGTAACAGGAAAGTTCATTCTTGTACTCTGCCTCAGGCCAGCGGAACTGGAGCCTGGGAGGAGCTTTTATTAGTCACTTTTCTCTGCTGTGACAAAATACTGGACAAAAGCGACTTCAGGAAGGTTGGCTTGGCTCGAAGTCAGTCTGTCACGGCAGAAGGAGCAGGGGGCAGGTGGCTACAGTATGTCCCCAGTCAGGAAGAAGAGGGCTGATGCTGATGCTCAGCTCACTTTCTCCTTTTTATTTAGTCTGGTTCCTCAGACCATTGCACGGGGCCAGCCACATTCAGTGTGGGTGGTCCCCCTCAGTTAAATCTCTCTAGAAACTTCCTCAGAGACACACCTGCTCAGAGGTGTGACTCCAATCCAGTTGACAGTAAAAATTAACCACCAAAGGTGGGTCAATTCCTTGTTTAGCAAGCTTTCAGGTAGTTGTGATACTTTCCAAGTTTGAAAAGTATGTCCTAGAATGAGATTTTATATAACTTTTAGAACAAAAAAGAAAAAGTATGATTTGCCAAGACAAGTAAGACTGTACAATAAGATTAGTGTCTGTGTATGCTATTGTCTGGTGCTCTTTGATGGTGTTTGTAGAAAGGATTAGGAAGATTGTGAAAACACCAGAAGGAAAATCTAAAATGAACTTACAGTTTACTGCACAAGTCACATAGTGAAATGTCGGTAACCCTTTTTGCCAAGTGTTTGGGTTTTAGCAAACAGTGTTTACATTTATTGTTACTTGAAATTTCAAGTAGGGGTTCAGAGTATTAATTACTGTTAGTATAGATTTGCTATAGTTTCTTTCTTATAGGTGTGGACACTATCCTAACGAGGCATCTTTCTCTCTCTCAGCTTTTGGTTCGTGCAGGTGCTAAGCTAGACATTCAGGATAAGGATGGAGATACTCCTTTGCATGAGGCTTTGAGACATCATACTTTGTCTCAGCTACGCCAGCTACAAGACATGCAAGATGTGGGGAAGGTAGATGCTGCTTGGGAACCATCGAAAAACACAGTGAGTAAAGATAGTGTTCCTCACTGCTATTGGAAACATGTTTTATATTACTACTTATCTGATTTGCTTTGGATAAAACATTTTATCAGAGTTGTACTTGGGTTTATAAAACTTCAGTACTACTGGTCACTACGAAGTGCATTTGTTCTGCATCTTATCAAAAGTTGGTTCTTTATAACTTCAGCTTTGTAGATAGGGTAGAGTGGGTATTTGTTATGGTTTTAATTTGAAATCCCAAATGCTCGTTCATTTTGACCAGCTTTTCATTTGATCAACAACACATGTATTTGATGAGCTATCTGCTCAAAATTTTCTCATTATAATTTTTGAATTCTTTGTTTTCTTTTGGTTTTGTTTTTTGAGGTGTTAGGGATTGATCCCAAGGCCTCATGCATACTAGGCAAGCAGTCTCCCACTTCCTAGTTCTTTTGTTTTCTTCTAATTATTTCAAGAATGGTTTATATAATGTGAAAAGGAGATCATATCAAGTATGTGATACATACATGTGTTCTCCTGGTTGCAGCTTGTGCTGCTGCTGCCTTCTCTTCGTCTTTGGGCGGGCGGGGGGGGGGGGGGGGGGGGGGGGGGGGGGGGGAGGTTGGTGACAGTGGAAGAGAATTAACAATTGATAGTGCAGTGCTTCTATATAGGAATGAACATAATTATTATGCATTTTTTAAAAATAGAAATGATAGCTTAGTCAAGAACAGTCACAAGAATTAATGTATGTAAAGCCAGGCATGCTAGACCATGACTGTAATCCCCCACTTAGGAGGCTAAGGCAGGATTTGTGACCAGCATGTGCTATATAGTGAGTTCCAGGCCAGTCTAGGCTAGAGTGAGACCCTACCTCAAATAAACAAAACCACAAAAGCTTCCCCATGTTATTGTCGTATAGTTTCCAGACACTGGAGAGATGCTTTATCCTCTAAGTATAGAGAAAAGTCATAAGTGCGGGTACACCAGTCGTGTGTATAACGGCTGGTGCGTCGCACCTCTGTCTTCTTCAGTAGAGGAGGTCCAGAACGGATATTTGATCTTTTTTATCTTCTCCAAAAAACAGTTTTCATTCTTAGAAAGCCTAAGAGATGGGGTTCCATTTGAACTAGTGTCTCCCCAAGATGGTTCTCTAAATTCAGGTGGGCCTAGAAGTCTAGAATCAGTCTGGTGATGTCCTCCCTGTCAGCAGTGGCCTGGGATGTCAAGAAGTGAGTTGTGCTGCACATGCATGTGTCTTTTCCTTCTTTTGACACTGGTGTTTCGTGATGAGGCCTCACTGTCTTGCCCAGTTGTCCTGAAACTCTTGATCCTCCTGCCTTGACTTTTTGGTTTTTTGGTTTGTTTGTTTGTTTGTTTGTTTTTGAGACAGGGTTTCTCTGTGTAGTTTTGGTGCCTGTCCTGGATCTCGCTCTGTAGATCAGGCTGGCTTTGAACTCACAGAGATCCGCCTGGCTCTGCCTCCTGAGTGCTGGGGTTAAAGGTGTGCGCCATCTTGACTTTTGAGTGGCTGGGATTACAGATGTGAGCCACCATGCCCAATTTTTGACAATCTTCTTAGAAGAACAGAATGTCTTTTTTTTTTTTTTTAAATGATTTATTTATTCTTGTTTTATGTGCATTGGGGTGTTTTGCTTGCATGTATGTCTGTATGAGGGTGTCAGATCCCCTGGAACTAGAGTTACAGGTAGTTGTGAACTACCATGTGGGTGCTGGGAATTGAACCAGGTCCTCTGGAAGAGCAGCCAGTGCTCTTAACTGCTGAGCCATCTCTCCAGCCCAGAACATAATGTCTTAATATTTATTATGTATGCTTTATATGTCCTAAGAAATCTTTGGTAAAATGAGGGTCACTCAGACTTTTCTTGCTTTATGTTATAGGAGCTTATAATGTTAAACTATTACGTTTAAGTTCACTGTTAAAGTGAACTTTTATATAGAGTATAGCATAGATTGAAGTTCATTTGTCACTGGTGGATGTCCAGCTGTCCCTGCACCATTTGTTGAGTAGTGTCTTTTTCTACTTGAGTGCCTGCTGCCTTTATCCAAGATCAGTTAGCTATCTATGTGGAAGTCTCCTTTTGCATAGTCCATCTTGGTTTTTTTTGGTCCATGTTCTTAGCTATGGGATGCCTGCTCAAATGTCTTGTAGCTTTGTGATTCAATGTTTGCTCATGTTGAAATCAGTCAGTGGAAGTCCTTGAATTTTTTTTGATTGTTTGGCTATTTTAAGCCTTTACACTTCCAAATGAATTTTATTGCCATCTTAAAGAGTATAAATGATCGGAGGTCAAAATGTTTGTGAATTTTTGTCTTGCATGACTCTGGGTGTATATTCCTAACCCCTTTGTGCCTTCTTTTTTCTTTTTCATCATCTTAAAATTGAGAGGACCATACTTCTCTCCATAGGTTGAATAAGATCATAACAGTACTTAAAACAGTACATGGCTCATTATGGATGCTTAGTGGATCTTGATAGTTTAACAATTTCATATATGTTTGGATCCATAGCTCAGATGACACAGTCAGATGCTGATTTGTCTCATTAAGTTTTTGCCTTGATTCAGAAACATTGAGAGTTAGTTGGTAGCAGCTCCAGAGTAACATTGAATATGAACAAAAGTAGTTTCTTCTTAACCAGAAGCTGCACTTGAGTTTCTCAGCCGTAATTGGCCTGACTTTGGTTCTGTGTCTGTCTCTGAATCAGTCATGTAGGAAGCAGGAATCCAACTGGGTTTAACCACTTTTGGTCCAGTTGTGCGCTGCAGAGTCAGTTCTCAAATGTGGGAAAGTCAAGGGAAATGGGGGTTGTGGAGAGATGAGTCCATGTTAGGACTGAAACTCATAAATGTCCAGCACACACATTGGTAGTGATAATTGATGGTAGATTTCCTTAAGGGAAAATCATGACTTTTTATTTTGCTTTCAGTTAATAATGGGACTTGGTACCCAGGGGGCAGAAAAGAAGAGTGCAGCATCTATTGCCTGTTTTTTGGCAGCCAATGGTGCCGACCTCAGCATTCGAAATAAGAAGGGTCAGTCTCCGCTGGATCTCTGTCCTGACCCAAGTCTCTGCAAAGCGCTGGCAAAATGTCATAAGGAAAAAGTCAGGTTTGTAGTCTTCATCATCACATTACTCCATTCATAAGGGAGGAGCTGGTACTTGCAGGTGTCTAGATCTTTGTGTTGCACTTGAAAACATCTCCTCTATGTACTGTGTCTCATTCCATGTTGTATTCCCCACATTATGTATACCGCTTTATGTATGATAAATGTAAGAAACTTTTCTAAACTAGTTTGATCTTCTAGGAGTCCTGTGTGCTTTGGGAATTTATAAGGAAAAGCCTTACTACTGAGAATGCTATGATTAATGTTATAATATTTTCCTATGAAGGGCAGTTTACTCTCATTGAAAGTTTGTAATGATTCTAGCACCTTGCACCAAGAACTTGGAGACAGTTATTAGCAATAAAGGGTTAAAAGAATGAACAAATGACTCAACCAGTTGGTTGCAGCAATTTCCCTAAAGATGATCATTTCACATATTTCTGTTTTTCTGACAGTAAAATATGTCAGTAATTTTAATTAAAACTTCCGGTGTAAATATTTTCTTTACTGAGATAGACATACAAAAAAAGCACACATCTCTATTTTTTAATCCAAACAATGCTATGAACATACTCTTGACCTTTATACCTCTTATCACTGACTATTGGTATTGTCCCTTTACTTTGATGTTTTGTCACCTCTCCTCAAATGTATATGTAACAGCCGGGTGGTAGTGGTGCATGGCTTTAATCCTAGCACTCGGGAGGCAGAGACAGGTAGGTGTTCAAGGACAGCCAGGGCTACACAGAGAAATTTGTCTCAAAAAACAAAACAAACAACAACAATAGCAAAAAATGCATATGTAATGATGAAATGGTATTACTTTGGATTTTATGAACAGAACTGTGTGATAGGTGAAAGTAAGATAATGGAAAGGAAGAGAGGGGTGTGTCAGTGTGTGTGTGTGTGTGTGTGTGTGTGTGTGTGTGTGTGTGAGTATGTGAGAGTGAGAGGGGTGTGTGTGAGAGAGAGGTGTGTGTGTGAGAGATGTGTGTGTGAGAGAGAGAGATTGTGAGTGTGTGTGTGTGAGAGAGAGGTGTGTGTGTGTGAGAGAGGTGTGTGTGTGAGAGAGAGGGGTGTGTGTGAGAGAGGTGTGTGTGGGAGAGGTGTGTGTGTGTGAGATAGGTGTGAGTGTGTGTGAGAGAGGTGTGTGTGAGTGAGAGAGAGATGTGTGTGTGAGTGAGAGAGATGTGTATGTGTGACTGAGAGAGAGGTGTGTGTGACTGAGAGAGAGATGTGTGAGTGAGAGAGAGATGTGTATGTGTGACTGAGAGAGAGGTATGTGTGTGTGAGAGATGTGTGTGTGTGAGTGTGTGAGAGAGGTGTGTGTGACAGAGAGAGACAGAGAGACACACAGAGAGAGAGAGAGAGAGAGAGAGAGAGAGAGAGAGAGAATATTGAGAATATATTTTAACGATTCATTTGAATTATTTTTAGTGATGTGTCTGTGGAGGCAGGAGGTTTCAGATCGGCCTGCCAGCTCCAGTTTGGGAGATTATAAACTGTCCATTGTGAATGTTGGGAACTGAACTTGGGTTCTCTGAAAGAGCAGTATATTCTCTTAACCACTGAGACATCTCTCCAGCTCTTTTTTAATATAAATTAAGTAGGAGCCCAAGCTAGCTATCGAGCCCAACATAAATAAGTATTTTGATGTATATATTTTAAAGGTATATATTTTTAAAGTATATCTTTAAGGAACTTAAAATTCTGTTATAGGAAAACTAAATTCATCTATAAATAGATACAAGGCACTCTAATTACTCAGTAATGACTTTGAACAGTGGAGTCTTACAATGGAATCTTTATGTGCATTCTTAAGTTCTTGGAACCTGTGTTTACTTTCCATAGCTGTATCAGTTATACACACCTGCATTTTCCTGCCTGTTTCTGCATATTTATGCAATGTAGTCTACCTTTCTGTAGTGTAATTTCAACCTCCTGAACAACATACTCAATGGAATATCAGAACGGCCGCTGAAGTGTCTCCCTCTCTAGTGTTTCATCCTTTGTGAACTCTGCCTGCCTCTGCCTCCTGAGTGCTGAGAATATAGGGTACACCATGACACCTGGCTCATTAAATTAGTTTTTGCAGGTGTTTTTAGCTGTTCATTAGAAGTTCACCCTTTTTCATTGAGTCTTCCTTTAATTTGAAGTTTGACTGGTACTAGAAGAATGTGAGGATGCAGAGAGGTTCATAAATAGGTAAAAACCAATCATTTAAGTACCTTTTTGGTCTATTCTTTTGCTCAGTAGAGATGTGAAAATGAGCTTTTATAAGTAGAAAAAAAATAGAAAAAAAAGCTTTACATAAAATTGTTGACATTTAAATTTTAATATAATCTTTTTTTCATGTGTACTAATGACATTTTTGGATGTTAAAAAAATTGTTTTTGGATGGGCTTGATTTGAAAGTATTTGGATGGGCTTGATTTGAAATACTTTGTTTTATTAGTGGCCAAGTGGGTTCTCGGAGTCCTTCTATGATTAGCAATGATTCTGAAACCTTAGAGGAATGTATGGTGTGCTCAGACATGAAGAGAGATACTCTTTTTGGTCCATGTGGACACATTGCAACTTGTTCTTTGTGTTCTCCGCGTGTCAAGAAATGCCTCATCTGTAAAGAACAGGTTCAGTCCAGGACAAAGGTAATGTATCTGTAATGTGCTGCTCTGTCTGTGGTGGTGTTCTGTGAGACAAATATTGGGTCATGGGATAGTTATTTCACTTTGTTCTTACAAATGAGTTAAATGTCATAATACATAATTTATACATTTAAAGAGATCAGTTCAGCTCTTCCGAATTGATCTCTAGTCTGACCTTACTGATGTACTTTGCCACATTCATTATTATCACAAAACCATCCATGATTTTTAACTCCCAATTTTTTTTAACTTATATTTCCTTCTTTATATCTAAAGTATAATACTTAAAAAATAGTTACTGTTTTTCCTTTAAAGCCCGCTAGAACTTAGAGACATTGAATTCTACTTTGTATTACATACTATATAGTTTTCAAATTTGTGGAAAATTTAAAAAGCAGATGTCTAACCAGCTCAGTAAATTTGCTAGGTTACTAGTAGAGCCTTTGACCATAAGGGAACAGTGACCCCAAGTGGTTACAGGGGAATCAACAGCTTCGTTGAAGGAAAATTCTAAAATGTAGAGGAAAGGGTGTTATTAGACGAGTGATTTGGATTCTTCAGTAATTAGGGAACTGTAAACACATTTCAAATTAATACAGAAGTTTTTGTTGAGTTAGGAAATAAAAGGTTTTGTTTTAAGTGCTAGCTAGCAATCAAGGTGGGAAGTGGCCACTTTGTTAACACTGCTAGAGGTGTGGAGACCATCCTCTGCTCAGAGCTTTACACAGGAAAATGCATCGATTCAGTTGTTCCATTCATGAGAGTAGAACCTGAGGAAATAATCCATAAGGGGAAATTTGTGCTAGAAAGACTTTTCTTTTAAATAGCAGAATGGGTAGATAAATGATTGTTAGATAATTGACTATTATTTTAAACTCTTACAAATAATATTAGGTAATACTAAAGGTAGCTTTTGAGTTCAAGAATATCAGAGACCAACCGGATTATACTGCACTAAACTAGTGTGCCAAGTATGCACACTCCATGTGCAGCACTGAGGCTTGGGCCGGAGAGCACACCTGCACAGAAGTGCAGGAACGCAGTGGTTGGTGGTGAGGTGCTGTGACAGGTGAGAAGTGGCTGTTTCTGGATGAAACAGAAGATGGTTAAATGTAGCTCTGCTGGAAAAGCAGTGGGAACCAAAGGCAGTGGTGTGAGCTGGAAGGACAGGGGAGCCAGAGTCAAGGGAGTCACAGTACATGGCAGAACTTAGTGATAGGGCGGGTGAGGAATAACCTAAAAGCTTTGGGCTCCAGGCAGCATGGAAATTGACCAGGTCCTACAAAGGGGGTGCTTTTGTGGAGAATTCCCTAGATGGAGGTAACATAGGCACCCCTCTTGAACTTCCAACAGTTTATTTACCTGGATTGAGTTTTGTTGTTATTAGTCTTCTCACAACCATTTGTTTTAATATTTATATATTAAAATTTCCTTAAAGTTTTTTGGGAAAAAAAAAAGAAAATTAACGTTTAGCTCATTGTCCCTGACTTCAGATGAAATGGAATCTTTCTATGCAACTCTTTGTGTCAGGTAGGGAGAGCTGCAGAAATAGTGTGTGTGAAGTGAGGGCACATAACGCTGTGAGAATGAGCAGCCAGGAAGGCAGAGCACACTGAAGGTCCACTGGGGTGTAATCTACAGTATTCACTCTGCTGCTGGTTTTGTTGTGTTTTCTTTTGCTATAGATTGAAGAATGTGTGGTGTGCTCTGACAAGAAAGCGGCTGTTCTTTTCCAACCATGTGGACACATGTGTGCCTGTGAGAGTAAGTAGCCTATTGGGAAAGCTCCCCAGTGCCATTGTAAAGACAGAAGTGAAGTCAAAAATTACAGCTTTGACTTTGCAGACAGGGTTTCTCTGTGTGGTTTTGACTGTCCTGGATCTTGCTCTGTAGACCAGGCTGGCCTCAAACTCACAGAGATCTACTTGCCTCTGCCTCCTGAATGCTACTATTAAATACGTGCTCCACCACCACCCAGCACATCTTTGATTTTTTGTTTGTTTATTGGATAACGTACCTATAGAAAAGCTGGATAAGCATTTAGTACCTTTTGGTCTATACTTTAGAGCAGTAGAGTATACTGAATAATTTAAATACTGAATTCTGTGTTGTATCAGGCTGAATTTTTTGTGTTTCATTTATATTACTACAAAAGAATCTCTTTCACACATAGTGAAAACCTATTTCTAAACATAGAACATCTAATCCACCTTTTTTCATATAACATTCGTACCTCTTCATTTGTCCTCACCTTAGCATGCCTCTCCTGTGGACCTGCAGCTTCTCAGCTCCTACAGCATCTATTGTTGGGGGCTGCAGTTTTGTTCTGTGGACTGTTAGATCAGAAGTTTAAGAAGTCTTTTTTTGGGGTGGACAACATTGAAGCCTATCTAATGCTCTAGAGCAGTGGTTCTCAACCTTCCTAATGCTGAGACCCTTTAACACCATTCCTTGTGTTGTGGTGACCCCTAGCCATTAAATTATTTCACTGCTGCTTCATAACTATAATTTTGCTACTGTTAAGAATTATGATGTAAATATCTGTTATGCAACCCCTGTCGTTTGGGCCCCAAAGGAGCCATGAGCCACAGCTTGAGAAACAGTGCTTTTAAGTCTCTTAGGCCCATTATCATGAAGGCCTTGGTTTTTATTTCTTTTATATCTTACAGGATTTGAAATTCTCTTTCCTTTGCCATTTTTTTGTTTGTTTGTTTACTTACCAGTGAAAGATCTCATATTATAATGAATAGTGCTTCATATTATAAAATAGGTTAGTCAACAAGTATTGGTATTATTATTGACTAGAATATCTATCTGACTAGAATAACATGCAAATTATATGGTAGTTAATCTCATTAGTATAGATGCCTGTCTTAGTTAGGGTTTCTGTTGCTATGAAGAGACACCATAACCATGGCAACTCTTATAAGGAAAACATTTAATTGGTTGGTTTACAATTTCAGAGGTTCAGTCCATTATCATCATAGTGGGACGTGGTGATGTGCAGGCAGACATGATGCTGGAACTGAGACCTCCAAGCCCGCCTCCACAGTAACACACTTCCTCTAACAAGGCCACACCTACTCCAACAAGGCTACTACTTCCTAATAGTGCCACTCCCTTTGGGAGCCATTTTTTTTTCAAACCACCATAATGTCCTTTAAGTGTTGGGTTAAATTTTATTTTATATTTATTTATTTGTTTGTGTATATATGTATGGGTGTGTGCCCACCATGGTGTGTGTGTGGAAGTCAGAGGACACTTGAGGGAGCTGATTCTCTCCTTCTACCCTGTGGCTTCTGGAGCTCAAACTCAGATGGTCATTATCCACTGAGCCATCTTATAGGACCCCTGAACACTGGTGTTTTGTTTTAATTTTTTTTCATTTTGATAGACAACTAAATAAAGGGCCAAGGGTCTGTTCAATTAGCAGTCTACCTCAAGTAATTGTTTCTGTTTACTAAGGCCTGGTGTAAAGGCTATTATCAGCTGTCAAGAGGATGCATAGAAAGACATTCTCTTGGTTTTAAGTAAACTTTTGTAGACCAGAGGTTGACAAACTTTTTCAGTACAAGAATAAATACTCAATGTTTTTGGCTTTACAGGCCACGTGGCTTCTGTAGTAACCACCCACTTCTTTCCAACTACCCAATGCTGTGATTGTAGTCCACAAAATATACAACCACAGAATATACACAACTATGTTCCAATTAAAGCTCATTTAAAAGCTTGGCAGTGGTCATGCACACCTTTAATCCCAGCACTCAGGAGGCAGAGACAGGCAGATCTCTGTGTGTTCAAGGCCAGCCTGGTCTACAGAGTTAGTTCCAGGACAGTCAGGGCTACATAGACAAACCCTGCCTCAAAAAACCAACAAAAACAAAACAAAAGCTCCTTTAAAAGAACAGGCTTTGGGTCAGTGATTTGTTGACTCTTAACCTACTGTAGACCAAAGTAATGCCTATGTGAGCCTTGACAGATAATTGTAACCATTAGTATTGATCACACAGTCCCTTGAGCCTCTATATTTTATTTTCCCCCAAGGACTCCCAAAAACTTGAGCAAGACTTTTTGCTGTATAATGTACTAGCTTTTACTAAACTTTTAACTCTGTACTAGATATTTTAATCTCTTCTTAAATGTATCAAAACTTAACTTTCAGCACGGTCTTAGCTAGATGGATTTTCTGTGTCTTATTATTTAATTTATTTTTTATTTATGGTTCTAGGGGTCAGGCCTCTTGCATCCTTAGCAAGCACTCTGCCTCAGAGTCAGATCCCTGGCCCTAAACTTTTCTTTTTTACTTGTAGCCCAGGCTGACCTTGAGTTTTTGGTCCTCCTGCTTTTGCCTCCCAAGTACAGGAATTGTGTATGTGCACCACACTGCCCAGCATGCTCTTCATCACTTACTGAGGAGGATGTGGCTGAGGTGAACGGCCCTTTTCTGAAGAGTATATGCTGAAGTATTTAGTCTAGTACCCACAGCACAGTGACGTTAAGTAGAATGTGGTAGTCTTGAAGAGTTTAAAGTACTTTGACCAGTCAAAGGAAGGGTTAGATCCTTTTGATGAGGCTGATAATATATATTTGTACAGAAATATATCTAAATTTAACAGTTAAAGGAAGTTTGTGTAATTGTGATGGTATGTTATTTGATTGGTATATAATACATTAATCCTTTAAGGAAAAAGTCTACCCCATTCTGAAGACAAATCCCAAACTAGATTTATTAGTGCCTTCCTACTGTATGTTGCATAATCAACTATGAGACCATTTTATGCTCAGTCCTTGGTGTCAGGCTTGATAATCATTCTACATCTAGTGTGTTTCCATTAGGAGGATATAGCCCAGCCTGTCCATATCCATGAGTCCACATTTTTGATAGTCTAGTTTGAAATGAAGCCTGCTTGTTTAGTAAATGCTGATAAACAAGAACATGTTGACTTGCTATGTCTACTTTTATAATTAATTGACAAGTTCAAGTGTAAGGTGATGTGAACAATCAGTAATACACATTGTGCCTAGATAGTTTTCTCTCTTCCTTTCTTTCCATCCTTCCTTCTTTTTTTCTTTCAGAGACTTTTTTATTTTATTTTATTTTTATCTTTTTGAGACAGGGTTTCTCTGTATAACAGCACTGGCTGTCCTAGAACTTGCCATATCAAGGACCCAGAACCTCAGAACAATGGGAAAATAGCAAAGCCTTTCTCAGGGAACTGAGTGCAAGTGTTTACAGTTTGTGCAGGATTATAGTTGTATACCACCATTCCTGGATAAACCTTAAGATTTAGAAATATTTTCTTGAAAAAAAAAGGTCACTATTTGGTTATATTAGAAAATTATTTTCATAATAGGTTCTTGTTTTCCAGCAGACAGTTCTCATTCTTAAGTTAATAACCTGACAGTGAGGTAGGATTTTTATTTATAACTTGTTATAGTTAGAATCTTGTATAACTTCTTCAATATTTGTTTCAGTATATGGCTAACAGAAATCAGCAGAGGAAGGCAATATTGTTTATGTTGTAGCTAAAGAAGCGTCCATGTTACTCATTTTCAGACTGTGCCAGCCTGATGAAAAAGTGTGTGCAGTGCCGGGCAGTCGTTGAACGAAGGGTGCCTTTCATCATGTGCTGTGGTGGGAAGAGTTCGGAAGACCCCTCTGATGATATCTGTGAGTGTCTTTCTTGCTGACCGTACCTCCCAACTTTATACATACTACACTCTGCTGCTGCCTTGTTCAGTAAGAGTTGGATTGACAGAGGAGCAAGTATGATTTTTTTTGGTGCTTTTGGTAGTTATAAGAAATGTAAAATTCCCAGGAGAGGAGCAAAGTTACACAGAGAAACCCTGTCTCAAAAAACCAAAAAAAAAAAAAAAAAAAAAAAAAAAAAGAAATGTAAAATTAAGCCGGGCGGTGGTGGTGCACGCCTTTAATCCCAGCACTCGGGAGGCAGAGCCAGGCGGATCTCTGTGAGTTCGAGGCCAGCCTGGGCTACCAAGTGAGTTCCAGGAAAGACGCAAAAGCTACACAGAGAAACCCTGTCTCAAAAAACCAAAAAAGAAATGTAAAATTAGATTTTTATTTAGTTTGTGGTATGCTTATATAGACTTTCCAAAGATGTGTATGCATGTGTAATGTGTGTATGTGGGTACATGAAAGCCTCTATATGCATGTGGAAATCAGAGGACAACTGTATGGAGTTGATTCTCCTCCTCAGCCTTTACATAGGTTCTGCGATCACACTCAAGTTGCTAGGCTTATGGAGCAAGCACCCGTGTTTTTACCACCGAGTCAGTCACACCAGCCCAGCACCAGATGTTAGAGACTTTGGAATATGGAGAACCTGTATGTTCTTACTTAAAGACTACTTTCTTTCTGTCTTAAAGATGAAATTTAGTGGTTGTATATGTGTGCCCATTTCTGGGGATCAGATTAATTAAGCATATACTCTACCAATTTAGAGTATCTGGAAATGGAGCACTGAATTCCAAGTTACTTTTTTCAGCTTACAAATGTATTCACTTAGTTCCTTTGCATAGCAGGCTTACAAGACCATTTAAGTGGAGCTTATTATGTGGGGCAGTAATTACTGGGACAGAGAAGCTGCATTGTAACACAGACAAGGAGAAGGCTGAAAAACTTTGTTTTTCCCGTTTATATCACGGTGCTGGTAAAGTCAAGTTACTGCTTGCTCTAAGCAGGCACTTACCTGTTGGACTTTATTTCCAAAGGCTTCAGTAATACAACTGTTTAAAGTGGGTTTTTTTTGGTTTTTGTTTTTCTTTTTGGTCAGTGTTCTATTGCTGTGAAGAGACACAGTGACCACAATTTTTTTTTTTTTCTTTTTTCTCAAGACAGGATTCTCTTTGTAGCTCTGGCTGTCCTGTAACTCACTCTGTAGACCAGGCTGGCCTTGAGCTCACACAGGTCCTGCTTCTACTGCCTCCCAAGTGCTAGGATTAAAGGCATGTGCCACCACACCCAGCAACCATGACAACTCTTATAAAGGAAAGCATTTAATTGGGTTTTGCTTACAGTTTCAGAGGTCAGTCCATTGTCATCATGGTGGGGAGCATGGTGGCATGCGGACAGACGTGGTGCTGGAGAAGTAGTTGAGAGTTCTTTATCCGTTTCCACAGGCAGCAGGAAGAGAGAGACACTGGGATTGGCTTGGGCTTTTGAAACCTCAGAGCCCACCCCCAGTGACACAGTTCCTCCAACAAAGCCATACCTACTCCAAGGCCTCCTAATCCCTCTCAAGTAATGCCACTCCTTGATGACCAGGCATTCATACATATGAGCCTATGGGGGTCATTTCTATGCCAACCACCGTAGTTAGTGAGCTGGGTCAGCAGGTAAAGAGCTTACCTTGTAAATCTGATAACCTGATTCAGTCCCTGGAGCTTATGTGAAGGTGACAGAGAATGGTGTCTTCGATTCTTGGCTTTGTAACAGATGAGGAAGAACATTGCTGCACACACCTCTAACACCTTCACAAATAGAGAAGAATAAAATTCCCAGGCATAGCTGTTACCTAGAATAAAGGGCCAGGGATGTACAGGGCAGGACATGTAAAATCAAAGAGCTTTTATCATAGCCTTCTGAATTTTTCAGATCGTTAACAGTAAGGAAAATCTTGACATAAAGAAAGGAGGGTCGGTCAGGCTTGGGTGGTTCGTGCCTGTAATCCCATTACTTGATTACCTGAGGATTGCAGTGAGTTTAAGGCCAGTCTGAGCAGCCGAGTAAGACTATCTCTAAATAAATAAATAGATGAATAAATAAAGTTAAGCTGGGTGTGGTGGCACATACTGATTATTATTATTATTATTATTATTATTATTATTATTATTATTATTATCAGTTATTTTTATTCTTCTCTCATACATTACATCCCAACTGCAGTTTCCTCTCCTTGCACTCCTCCCTCTTCCCCAGATCTGTTCCTCTTCTGTTTCTCTTTAGAAAAGAGCAGCCCTCCCAAGGATATCAGCTGAACATGGCATAACAAGTTACAATGGGACTAAGCAGAAGCCCTCATATCAAAGCTGGACGAGGCAACCCAGTAGGAGAAAAGGGTCCCAAGAGCAGGCGAAGAGTCACAAACACCCCCACTCCCACTGTTAGGGGTCCAACAAAACCCAAGCTGAACAATCACAGCATGTATGCTAAGGATCTAGTTCTCAGACCCATTCAGGCTCCTCTGAACCCCTGTGAACCCTGCTTAACTGATTCTATGGACCATGTTCTTGTAGTGTCCTCTGTTCTCTGGCTCCTACAATTCTTCCTCCCCCTCTTTAGTGGAGTTCCCTGAGCTCCTCCTAATGTTTGGCTGTGCGTCTCTGCATCTGCTTCACCATGTTTTAAATCCTAGCACCTGGGAGTCAAAGGCAGGCAGATAGATACCTGAGTTTAAAGCCGGCATACTCTATATAGTGAATTCCAGGGCCAGGCCAGAGCTACATAGTAAGACCCTATCTGAATAATCATGGTCAGTGTCATCATCATCATCCAAGTATAGTGGGTGCTGCCTGTAATCTAAACACTTAGGAGGTAGAGGTAAGAGAATCAGTTTACGTAGAGAGTTCAAGGCTAGTTTGGGCAACCTGTCTAGTGAACCCTGTCTAGAAAGAACAAAAGGAAAGAAGATGCATTTTTTTAAGAAGTCATCTAAAAGATTAGTTAATACTCCTGTAGTAACTACTTTGCTCCGTTTCCAGTGGCCCACGAGCAGAGAAGAGGAATATGTGCGTTTGTGAGCTTGCCAGAGGAATCATGTAGAGCCTTGCGAAACTCAGAAATTCTCGTTGCTACAAGCCTCTTTCTTCCCCACCTCTGCCTTTTTTTTTTTTTTTTTTTTGCGGGGGGACAAGGTCTTGCTGTTTAGCCCAGACTGACCAGATGACAATATTCCTGCCTCAGTCTCCTGAGTGCTGCAGTTGCCATCCTGTGCTCCCATACCTGGCTTCCTCTATTTCTTCTTTTTAAAATCATTTTAAATTATGTATGTGTGTGTGCAGGTACCCAGGCACAAAGGCCATAATCTCCCTATGAGATTATGGGGGCCAATTATATTCAAACCACCACACACCCCAAGTCTATTTCCTCTTGAAGATTATAAATGAGTGTTATCTGGATTTCACTACTGTATCTTTTGTCTCTCGATGTGGAAAAAAAATTTTTAAGAAGACCTTAAGAATAATGTTAGCTCTCTCCACTCCTTTCTTTTCTGGTAGAGCTTACAGAACCCAGGTCCTTGCACATGGTGTTCTGCCACCAGTGAACTTCAACCCCATGGGTTTGAGGGGTTTAGTTTTTGTTCGTTTGGGGTGTTGGTTGGTTGGTTTCCTTGTTTTGGGTTTTTTCGGTTTTGGTTTATCAAGACAGGGTTTCTCTGTGTACCCCTGAAACTCACTCTGTAGAACAGGCTGGCTTTGAACTCAGAGATCTGCCTGTCTGCCTCCCGAGTGCTGGGGTTAAAGACATAGGCTACCACCACCCAGCTCAGTTTTCTTTTTTTTTTTTAATAATTAAAAGTTTAGAAATATGTCATTATGTCAAAATAGTAATAACTAAGGTTTTTCTTAACTTCTAGCAAGTGGGAATATTCCAGTGTTACAGAAGGATAAAGACAACACCAATGTCAACGCAGATGTGCAGAAGCTGCAGCAGCAGCTGCAGGACATCAAGGAGCAGGTACTGTTCCCATCCCACCACCCAGTGCTTCTTACTGTGCCGCTTAATGCATGTCTGCCAGGCTGCTGGCCTTTTCTCATAGGCACGGTCTGTGATAGCAGATCAGTGACTAATATCTGACTGTGACAGGAAACGTACATAGACGCCAATAAACATGGCTGGAAAAAGCCTAAAACCTGCTTTTCAAGCTAGTTTGAGGAGTGTGGAGAGATTGTTGGTGTCACGTAGAAGGCAGAGTGTCTGTAGCACTCCTATGCTGCTGCTGGGCAGAGAGTCACTAGACCTATGGGGAGAACACTGAACCTAACAGGCTGTTGTGTAGGACTCTAGACCTGGCGGAAATCAAAGTGTTCGAACCTGTGTGGTAATTTTCTCTGCTAGGAGGAGGCAGGAGGCAAGTTTCTAGAACCTGGTACGAGAGAATGTTCAGGTTGTGGATTTCTGAGGCTTGTGTGCATTTCTATATGTGTATACTTAATAGAAAATTAAAATGTGTATATGTATGTGTGTGTATATAGAAAAACAAGAGAAAGGTAAGTGCAAAATTCAAAATGGTGTTCATCATTGAGAGGTAGACAGGGGAGAGGGAAAGGTCTCAGAAGGGACTTGAGAAGTGAGAGTAGCATTCCATACATCAAACTGGGTATTAGTTACATTGTTATCTCCATTTTATACAGTATTGACAAAGTACTCTTTTATCTACTCAGCATATATCAAAGCAAGAAGATGAAAAACAGGCATATACTACATGATACCCCAAGTCTTGAGCCAGGTGTAGTGGTACACTCCTCTAACCCTAGAACTCAAGAGGTGGAGTTCAAGACCAGAGAGACTTGGTCTCACAAACAGCACAGCAAAAGGAACAGGAAAGCAAATCCTCGTTTGTCATCCTTGCGGTTTGACAGGGATTTAATTGCTTCAAAGGCTCAAGCAGCAAGAGTGTGGGTGAGGTTGGTAGTTACATCACTGTTGCCAGCCAGTTGTAGCAGTCCTTCATTCCTAGTTTACTGTCTGAATTTACCAGAAACAGTCAGTGGTTCTCCACCTTCCTAATGCTATGACCCTTTAATACAGTTCCAAAAGATAAGTGTGGGTAATGGCAGGGTGGTAAAGAAACTCAAAGTGCCTTAAATAGACGTATGAAAATGACACAAAGCAGTAATGTTTAAAGAGTAAATAACATTAGAAAAGTATATTCAATAGTGAATTTACTGTATGTGTGTGTGTGCGTGTGTGTGTGCGTGTGTGTGTGTGCGCGCGCGCGCGCGCGCGCGCGTGCATGCACCTGTGTCTGGTGCTGTAGGTCACTGGGGCCTCAGACATGGCAGACAAACCCTCAACTGCAGACCTAACCCCCAGATTTCAGTTTTCTCACACTCAGCCGTGACACATATTGAACCCTGTTATGGATCAACTTTACTTATTTCTAGAACTCAGCATCCTAAAAATGTTTATTCTTACTTAAAAATTCATACCACCACAGTTCATCACTAAACAATTTAAACACTTGTAACAAAACTAACTTTTTATGTGTGGATGGAATTTCTTGCAGGAATCTTCCTTCAGGATGATCACAGTCTAAGGAAACATGAATGATTCTCTTCACTCATCCCAGTCTTTGTCTTATCCCCTTGTCCATGCCCGAACCCCCTCCCACAGTCTTAACATGTAGCTCATGGCTGCCTTTAGCTCCTGGTCCTCCTACCTCAGCAGGTGCAGGGATTATAAACACGGATCACTTGACCCTGGTGCCTGCTTGACTGATTTAACTGACAAAATCAATTTCATATACTACTAACAACTAACAACATATCACTCTTAAAGTAACAAATGTGTTTCCTTTTGGAAATGCAAGTTATTAATTACATAGAATTCTTTTTTTTTCTTTCATTTATTTATTTTTCTGTTGGAATGAAAGCTAGAGCCTCGTAAAAAAATGTTAGGCAAGTTGTCCACTGCTGAGCTGTATCCCCAGCCCAGATATCTAGAGTTCTTGAAAATGTAATGGCACAAAGCTATTTTAATGCTACTAAATGGGGCGGGGGGCTGACTTTGTAAAATTCCAAAGATGTGGACACCCCCCCCCCATTTTGCTTTTTTGGAACTTCAAGATAGATGATTGTAATAGTTTGTTTAGAAAGGGATATGTTTAACAATTTACACCACAGTTTTTTCCCTCAGTTGTCTGTGGTGTCATCAAAGTTACTAGCTACATTGTCATAGACTTTTGGGAGAGGGAAAATTTATAATGAAGTGTGACATTAGAGTAAAATGGGCTTTTATTAGTGTAAAGTATATTTTATGGATAAATAATGACTTTCTACTAGAGAAAAGCACATACCTAAGTCTTGAGAGCAGAGTAGTGCTGGCAGAGTATTTGAGAGTAAGAAGTCTGGGGCTAGAAGTTCCAAGCTGGCAGGTCTTGACATGAGTACTAGCAGGGCTAAGGAGTTTTATATCTAGCATAGTGCCTAGCAAGGGCTCTCAGCTGTATAACTGTACCGCACCCCACTTCAGTGCCACACAAAGGCACTGGTTACCTGGAGGTGACATCGGCTTCAGGTACAGTGGGGCAGCTCTCATCCATTGCCTGCTCTCCAATTTATTATCCTTTATGTTGTGTGTGTTTGTGTGCAAGAGTTTATGTGCATCTTGTACATGCAGGAGTCAGTGGAGGTAAGATCCCCTGGAACTGTGAGCCAATATGTGAGTTCTGGGAACCGAACTCAGGTCCTTTGCAAGAACAGTAAGCATTCTTAACCTCTGAGGTGTCTCTCCAGCCTGTACTATGTTTGTTTTATGTACTGCCTTTATACTGTTTTGAAAGAAAAGCTAGTGTATATTTTGTAGGGATGACGTTTTATTATAACAACAATTTTTGAATAATTGATTTTTTAAATAACTAATTTACTTTTGAGCTGGGTGTGGTGGCAAACACCTTTAATTCCAGTACTTGGAAGGCAGAGGCAGGTGGATCTCTTATGAGTTAGAAACCAGCCTGGCCTACATAGTGAGTTCACTAGCCAGGGCTATATAACAAGACCTAGTCTTAAATCCCTCCTCAAACACACACACACACACACACACACACACACACACACACACACACACACACACACACACTGAAAAATTTATTCTCAAAAGCAATAGATTAGAAAATTAATGATATAGGGGCTGAAGAGTTAGGAGCACTGGATGCTCTTCCAGAGGACCCAGGTTCAATTCCCGGTACCCACATGGCAGCTTACAACTGTCTGTAACTCCCGTTCCAGAAGCTCTGACACCTTCACACCAATGCACATAAAATAAAAATTAAATAAATTATTTTAAAAAAAAGAAAATTAATGATATAAAAGAGTTGTTATATTGCACTTAAAGTATCAAATGGCTCATATTTACACATTGTCTCATTACATTTCAGACAATGTGCCCTGTGTGTTTGGATCGTCTGAAGAACATGATTTTCCTCTGTGGCCATGGAACATGCCAGCTCTGTGGAGACCGAATGAGTGAATGCCCAATTTGTCGCAAGGCAATTGAACGAAGGATTCTTTTGTATTGATTAAGAAACACAGAGTGTTTTGTTAGCTAAAGTATGTGATCATGAGGTCTTAGTAGGTTCTAAAGCTAGTTGGAAGTTTAATCTAATGGGTTAATTTGTAACTTCATAATTTTTTATTAGAATGTAATTAGACTGTATATGTACCACCATCACAACGAAAATATCATACAGTGTTTGAAATTGCTGATTTTGTGTATGTGTGTGTCTGTGTGTCTCTGTGTGTCTTAAATATGGAACATCAAATCCATGGTAATTCATAGGAAATCTACTTTTGGCTCCAAAGGGGGAAATCCTTTAAGGACCTCCTTTCACATTGGTTTTCATTCGTTTTTCTTTTTAAATTTATACGTATGTTAAACCTTAAAAGTGACTTACAAGGTCAGTACTCCTCCATGATTTCATGATTATCATGGTCTCACATGGTGAAATGACACAGCTATCCAGAAGTCCTGTGGGAGGTGAGTGGGCAAGTAGAACTGCGTCACCTATAGTAAGTGGTAAGAGGTGCCATGTGGCTGAGGCAGTCCTGAAGGGAAGATGGTATTTCAAGATAATTAGAAATTATCCAAATGACTATTTCAGAATTAAGTCCGTGGAAGTATGTGCTAAAGAATAATGACTTTACCTTGTTTTCTAGACTTAAAAGGAAAATTGACTAGCTTAAATAAATGACCAGTTTCAAAATCAGCAGCAGACATGAAAAGGAAAAGCAAAATTCAAGTGAGAACTGAAGGCTAGCACAGGACAATGCAAGCACACCCCCTACCTGACCGTTCCTGCTGCACTTCTTGTATTAACATGTCACTGTTTGGATCAGCCATTTGCAGAAAAAGATCTGTGACAACTGACCTGGGCTTGATCTAATCAGTGCCCACACACCATCCTGTTTGTGCCTCTGAGGTCTGCTCAGCAGGGTTATGCTTTATTAGAGGCAGCAATCTTTTCTTCTGTATCTGTTAATTCTGACAGTGTTATGGATTCTATCTTCATCAGAAGCCTTACTTCCACTCTCTCAGATAGTAATTTTTTGCTATAAAGAACATAGTTTTTCTTCATACCTACAGATGAAATTCTTTAAACTGCCAAGGATAACTAAGATACAATAAATAGCTTAATATCAGATACTTAGAAAAGGTTGCAGGGCGTTATGGAAAAGCATGTGATTACATGTAGACTTGGGAGGGGGCTAAGCATTTTATCTCCTTTAAATGAGTAATCTTTTTATCTAGCATAAATATACGCTTAAGTGTTTCGAGATTCCTCACTGCTAGATTATAAAAACATGAGCTGTTTACAGTAGTGTCTACTATATACTGTGTATAAGTATATTCTCTTTTAGTGTTCTTTGGGGGTAGTTTTCCCCCACATTTGAATCTTGCTAGCTTATTTCTGTCTTTCTGCTGTAGCAACTCAATGTGGGAGAGCAGAGTGTCCGGCCTGGTCACACCTGGCTGTGGTGGTTTACCTGCCACCGCCTATGCCAGGCCTCCCTCGTGGTGAGCTCTGCTGGCTGTGTTGCAGACTCAGCAGTTCCATATCTGTGTTTAGCTGAGCAACTACTATATTTGTTTCTTTTGGTTTTGAGGTAGCATCTCACTATGTAGTCCAAGTTGGCCTGGAACTTACTATGTATCTCAGGCTGGCCTCAACCTCATGATTTTCCTGCCTCTGCCTTCCGGTTGTGGGATTATATGATGGGGACCCCACCATGTCCAACAACTATTAATCATTTTGGACAATACAGTTTTTGTTAGTTTCAAATTAGGAATGTTATGCTGTGACTATTTAGCTATGTAGTTAGGAACCAATGAGGCCATTTTCTAAGTATAATTTGAAGTTTTGTTTTTTTTTTTTTAAAAAGATCCATCTGGTGATACGATGTTTACATAAAGAGACAGACTATCTTCTTGCAGACTTGGAAATAGCAGAAATGAGGATCTTTTCTTCCTTGCCATAGGCTGCCCATTGGGCAATGAAGGATGGCTGCTGCACACAGTCTGCCAATCCAAGAACCTTTGGGCCATAGCTGAATCTAGCTTAAGTCCTTTTCTCTGTCTCCTGAGCTGCAGTGCTAAAGCTTGTGTCTGTAAGGGGACAGGCCTTCCGGCTAGCTCCTAGCTCGGTCTCCATGTTAGAGCACAGCACACTAACTTCTGCGAGAGAAGCTGGAAAGTCTCTAGTGCTGGGACCTGTGGATTTCTCTTTGTCACTTGGCTGTTTATTTTACGAATAGAGGATGCTCTTCTGTTCATGTCTTCAGGCACCTGAAATTGTTGTAAATTTGCTTGGGTTTGCAGGAGACGGCAAGAGCAAGAGCTGCCTCGGGCCAGTGACTTTCCTCCTCACTCTCTGGAACTGCTACCTCTTAATCTCTTTGCAGTACTTGGCCCATTGGGTATCTCTCCTCCTTGCTTCCCAAACCCCTCTTCCCTGTGCCTCGGAACAACTCTTACTTCTCTTAAGATTATTTTTACAATGACACACATTCTTTTTTTTTTTTTTAAAGCATTGGGCTTCAGGGGCTTGATAGGAAAAGGTCAGGTCAGTGTCTTAGCACACTTAGAGTTCACACTGCAGTTGTTTGTGTCATTTGTGGACAATAACACAGGGTTCTGAGGCACTGTTAGCATTCCTGCTGGTGTTTCAAGAGAGCTTTTGGGGAGCAGTATTTGGAATCCTTTTGTGTGCCCCTTGCCCCACCACATTTCCTCCTTTACTCAGCTCTAAATACGTACAGTTTACCAGACGGTGCTAGCACACTTGCATTTGTTCACATAGTTTAATATCCTTATCTATGCTGTGTACGTACGAAAATTCATTGGGAGCAAGGTTTTCAAGAGAAATAGTTTATATTAGTGTAAGAAAATTATACTAGGCAAGTGTTTAGTTGCCCAAATTATGCTTAAGGTATTTGTAATTTAATAATGGCAAATTAACTAGAAGTCTACTGAAACATAAAATTAACTGGAAATAACTTCTTAAATTTATATTTTTGGTGATTTTAGCCTGAAAGAACATTTTATTTTAGAATGTTGAAATGCATGCTGCTTAAGATTTGTCTATTTCAAAATTCAAACCTTGCTGGGTCATTTTTACACATAGGAACATCCTGGGTAGTCATATGTTGCCTGGTGGATGTTCTTTGTTTATTTTGAATTCTGGACACTTGTGAACTAGGAATAGTTGAACTTGTGAATTAGGACAGTGCTGGATGGAGCAAAGCTGGTTTGGGACATGGGCGGTGCAGCAGACAGGAAGCAAACAGGAAGCACAGGGAGAAGGAGCATCGTGAAGGATTTGCTGCAGCCTTAGTGGAGAGGGCATAGTTCATTAAACAAGAAAAGAGCATCTATTAGGTCAGGTTTTCATACGTCTTGACAGTTGTTTTGTAAATAACAGATTTTAATACAGCTTGCTTTTTTAAGGTCTAAAAGCATTTATCCTTTCAGAGTGTCTGAAATGTTTATAGTAATAATTTGTATAAAAACTGACTCAACAGGATACATTTTTTGGAATTTTTTTTTTAAATTGCATTGAGAACCACATAGACGGTTTGTTATCCTGACTGCTTCTAAATGTGCAGTTGAGCAGTGTAACTCCCACTCACTCTGTTGGGAAACAGCTGTGGAATTTTATCCTGCACAGCTGAAATGCCACACCCATCAGATACTCCCCTTTTCCTTTCCTCTGTGCAGTAGGGTTCTGAGTACATAGAAAGCAAACATTCAAGTTGCTGCTTCGTCATTTGTGTTTGCAAGATCTAAACTTAGGTAGACATCGGGGCCCTGAAATTTGAGGGAAGGGCATCTCTCCCCTGCCATAATTGTTATTTTTACATGTATGTTAATTGAAAATGTTTATTATTTCATTTTGAGCCAGAGGGGGCAAAATACATTTAAATATGAGAAATAAGTTAGCTTTGGTTTTGTACTAAATTGGGAAGGTAATAGATTTTCACAAGTAATTTGTGCCTTGTTATAAACGTCACTTGTCATTGAGTCTACCTGTCAAATATCACAATACATTTTTCTTTCAAAATGGCGTCTGATTTAACTTGCTTGAATATCACATAGGAATGCTTAACTGACATTACTTGAGAATCATGTATATCCTTTTGACTTTAACACACACACAAACACACACATACACACGATAGCAGTATTGATAATTACGGTTCTGTCTTTAAACATTAAATGTGAGGAAGCTGTTGAATGTTGTCTCGTGTGTGTGTGTTGCTTTACTGCAGTGAAGGAGAAATCCTTTGCACTGAGCTTCCGTGGCTGATTGAGTGGCTACAGTGGGGTCAGATTACAACATAAAACCATGAGTGCATAGTTCATAGAGTTAAGTTGCTACTTTGGCATTTTCTACCTCTTTTTCTGTCAGAGTATTGCTTTTCTTCCCCTTCTAGCGTCTCATCTTGTTTGTGAGTGAAAAGAAAAACAACCTGAGGTTAAAGTTAGATTTTCTGTTTCTGAGAATTTAAGCAATAGGTGCAGGAAAAGGGACCTGTCATGTTAATTTGGTGCCTGAATCTAAAAGTATGAATTGATGTGTGCAAACTGTCTAAGAAGGATAATAGTGCCGAGTATTTGAATCATCCTGTATAGTTCTCTTGATTTTATTTCATAAACATGACTTCTTTCCTCAAATGCAAAGTGGTCTTCTAATTTTTTATGAAATAAGCAAAGACACCACTTTGTCTAAGTGTACAGTTTCAGGAAGCTCCTGAACGTTCTGACTCAGGGCTCTTTAACAGTTTAAGCAATTATTAATATATTTTGGAAACTCCATCTGCATAATTCTTCAGTGCCTTGACAGAATTATTGACATGGCAACACTTAAAACTTGGTCATAGGCAGCCTTCAGTGCACCAGGTCATGGTTTGCACGTTCCTGATCACACTGCTAAGCATCTGTGATAGCGGCTCTGCACGTGTGCTGGGTTTGCATAATTCTTTAAGGGAGTGTTCTATATTTGCACTTGATACTTGGTTTTTGCTTCTGTTTTTTAAAAACTGATTATTCAAGGCCATGGCACTGTTAGAAGAAAAACGGTGTTTGCTGTCGGTGTGCAAAGTCACCTTAAATAGCTGTTGGGGAAAGGGCAGGGCACACACTGTGTGTCTAGTACAAAAAGAGGATCAGTTCGGGAAGCAGATCGTCTTCCTCTCAAGTGGAAACCAAACCAAGCCAAACCCTTTGTTAGTGGTTCAATTAAAAAATTAGTTGACAGGAAATCATGAATTGCATGTCATTCTTACTGCTGATCTGTGGACTAAATGGACGTTTTTCTGTCTCCTTCAGCGTATGTCTGCCATCCTAAGTACAGTATATTCAAAAAGGAGAAAGCAGGTTGACTCAGAAGTGTTTTGCTTTGTATTTTTTCCAGTTCTTCTTAGCTTTCAATGTTGGAATAAATTTAAGTCTTGTTTATGGATAAAATTTCTGTATGGAAAATTATTCTTGCTTAATTAGCTTTTGTTTAAAAAAAAAGTTTAGTAGCAACTAAGCTTTTAAAAATAAATGCAAACATTTACCATTAATAAAACTTATGGTGTAATATGTTTTTCTCTGATTTTTTTGGAAGCTATTCTTTATAATAATATAAATGAATTTTTATTTTTAAGGCATTTGAAAGCAAATCTCAGTACATCAAAAAAAATCCTATTATTGGAAAGAAACTTACCATATCTTTGAGAAACAAGGACATCTCTCTCCAAGTCAATATAAGAAGTAAGCATCCACCTCTAGAAGGCTCCCATTGTGAGTGCTCACATGACAGGAACCTCTCTGTCCAAGGGTCAAAGAAGCTTTCATATTTTAACACCTACTTCTTCAAGATTAAGATGTATTTGGAAAGTACCCTGAATAGAATAGGCTTGATCAAAAAGAACCAGACAGGAAGACTCAGCCTGTCTCTCTATATATTTTAAAAAGCTTATTCCTCTTCAAAAGTTAGGTGTATGTGTGTGTGTGTGTATCATTTTTTATAAGGTAAGTATTTTACAGCAATGATGTATCTCCCCTTTTCAGTGTTTTCAGTCATTGAATAGTTTGGGGGTATTTTACTTTAAAGTTGCTAGACGTACTTGTTTTTTACCTTGTTGAGAGGTTTTCTGATTCCAGTTTAAAAGATATGTATCCCAAATGTCTGAGAGAAAAATCTCAGAAACAGAATCTTTTGTTTAATTGATAAAAGCACATGTATTCCAATTTTAAAACTGTGAATTTATTTTGGATAACCTCTAATTAATTGTATTTTGTGTTTATTTTTATTACTGTATAAGCAGCTATCTCATGGTAATATTTTTATTAAATTGAAACTCTAGGTTTAAAATAAAGACATTTTAGAAAATCTGCTTTATATTTTTATCATTGACAGTTAATTCATCCTTCACATAGGTTAAATTTTATCAATATTTTATAGCACAGCATTTCTCAAACTTTTAATGATGCTTTTTACAGTAGCAGTAGGACTCCAGAAGATACAGTGACACATGAGGTCAAATGGAAAACCAAAGCAGTTCCTGTAGCGAGCACTCGGCCAATGGTCTCCCCATTTATGACCAGACCAGTAACTGAGGAGCGAGCGCACTTTTATTACTACATTACTAAAGATAGATGTGGAAAGTAAGTACAACACCAGACCCATAACAGAGCAGCCCATCCATCAGTGAATGGTCAACATGTCAAGAAGACTAGTTGGTGGATGCTGCTGTATGATGCCCTGAGGGGATGCTTTTGGTGTGCCTTGGATAGGCCCTTGCATTCACAGAACCACTTTCTAAAAGACAGAATTTTAAAAACAATGTATTTTTTATTTTCACCTCTCACCAGTATTGACATTGAGCAGAACATTAACAGTTTAGAAAGAAGTTGACCTTAGCTTAATAGACAAGCAGTCAGGGCGAGCCTTTACTCTCTGATCCGATCACAGGCAAACCATTTCGGAAGGACTGGAGAACTACAGCCTGCTGACACACCCAGGAGTAGACTCCTGTGGGAGCCAGTGGTGGGTGAACTACTCCAGGCTTAGTCTGGACAAATCTAAGAGGTGGAACTTGAAGGGAGGGTACCGTATGGTTGAGCTGAAGGCCCCATCAGTTCTTGCCTCAGTGGTAGAACACTTGACTGATAGGTGAACCCTGGTTAATCCCCAGCACTGGAAGAAGAAAAAGAAACAGAAGACATACCATTAGTCAACTGGATGTAATTGACATCTACAGCATAGTTCACTACCAACAGCATAAGTCACATAATTCTCAAGCTCAAATGGGACATTTAGTAAGGAAGATGACATTTGGGACCTTCAAATGTACTTACTTAATTTTAATGACACACCATATTCTCCCAGACCACAATGGAATTAAATTAGAAATCTAGAGAGATGGTTTTTAAAAAAAAAAAAAAAAAAAAAGACTCAGTTGTTAAGTTGTTGGTGACTAAGCTACACACAGAGGTCAAAGAAATCTCAAGTGGAGGCTGTTTTGGATACTGGGTATGGTGGCTTACACACCTTAGGAGGTGGAATCAAAAAGATCTCCAGTTAGAGGCTGGCCAGGTGATTGATTCATACATACACAGGATGGATGATTGGCACACATACACAGGCACATTCACAGGATGATTGATATACACACAGGATGATTGATATACACACACACAGGATGATACACACACAGGATGATTGACACAGGCACATACACAGGATGATTGATACACAGGATGATATATGCACACAGGATGATTGACACACAGGCACATACACAGGATGATTGACACAGGCACATACACAGGATGATTGATACACAGGCACATACACAGGATGATTGATACACAGGCACATACACAGGATGATTGGTACACACATACACAGGATGATTGATGCACACATACACAGGATGATTGATACACACACAGGCACACACACAGGGTGCAGTGAAAGCCCTTGGGAAACGCTTATGTCAGTAGAAAAGGTCTGAACTCATCAAGCCTCTTCTTGAGAAAATTAGAAGAGGAACAAATTAATTGAAAGAAATACAAATATGAGCAGAGATTGTAAGGAAAAATAAAACCCAAATTGTAAATAGGAGCTTACTGGAGGAAAATCAATAAAATTAAGAGCCAAACCCTGAAATGATCAACTAAAGAGATTAGGTAGGTAGTGCCAATCATCATAAATCTCATGGACACTGTAATGTGGAAGTCAGTCATGGTATACCACCTATGGTCCTGGCATTTGCACAGTGGAGCAGAAAGATTGGTGATTTACAGTCATCCTCAACTGCAGAGTGAGTTCAAGCCCACCTGAGCTACATGAGGCCCAGCTTAAAAAGAAAAATAATGTCATGAGCAACTATCTCTGAGTAATATTATATAATATATATAAAATAACTTTTATTTTTAGTATCACTTAAATGGTTTCATTCCCTGAAAGGTATTCCCATCAGGGAGAACTAGGGAATCTGGATAACTATCAAAGAAATTGCCTTTAAAGCAACCTTTAAAAAAAAAAAATAGGAGTAGACCCTTTGATGCCAAATAAAGAAATTATGCCAATTATCTTCCGTCTCTTCAGAAGACAGAAGCAGAAAGAAGACTTCCTCAGAGAGAGAGCCCAAGTTTGTACGTGGAGTATTCCTTAGGGTTTTTGTTTCTCCAGCCTGACGTATGCATTCTATCAAAAACACTACCAACTTATTTTATGAATGTCGACAAAGTGGCTTCCAAGTCTATCTGGAAGAAGACAAAGTGTGAGGATTAGTAACACCCTGATTCCAGGACTTAAGATGTGCACTTAAGCTGAAGTTCTGTAGTCAGCCCAGATGCTCACCAGCAGATGAACGGATGAAGGGAAATGTTGCATGCATATAATCCAACCACAAAGAAGGAAATATCATTTGACAAAAAGTGTAAGGAGTCTGGAGATCAGCGTATTGGGTGACAGATTCAGACATGCTGCAGTGTGATGGTTAATGTCAACGTGACAGGATCTAGAGTCACCTAGGACACACCTGTGAGGGAGTATCAAGATGATGGTAACTGGAGTGGCACTACTCCATGGGCCTGGATCCTGGACAAAGTAAAAAGGAGAAAACCAGTCGACTGAGCAGTCATCAACTCCTGCCTCCTTACTGGATACAATGTGACTAGCTACTTCAGGCTCCTGCTGCCATGACTTCCCAGCCATGATGGACTACACCTCTCCTGTCAACCCAAATAAACACTTCCTCTCTTGAGTTGATTTTGCCAGTTATTCTATCACAGTAATGAGGAAACTAGTGTGGAGTTGGTACTGGAAAATGGGCCTGTGGCTGTAATAAACCTGACCATGTGGTTCTTAGACCCTTGGAACTGGTTTGCAGGAGGAATGTGGGAATTTGAAACTTAGGGCAAGGAAAGCCCTTGAATATTGTAGGCAGAGCTTACTAGGCCATTTTGATGGAAGTTTAGAAAACACAAATGCTCAGAAGAACAGCCAGTGGAGACTTGGCTTGTGGAGTTTCAGAGGGTAAGATCCCATGCATTGAAGTCTCTGCAAATTCATTAGAAAGGAAAACACAGACTGAGAATGGTGTTGAAGGGGTTCCTAGCCCCTCAAAAGCAACTGCCTGGGGAAGTGTCTCTGCAAGATCAGCACACAGAAGCAGAGGCAGCTGTGATCCAAGGGAGTCAGCCCCCATTCCCAAATTGGCAGCGAACATAGCATCATCCATGTGGTAGTTGTTTTGCAGGCATGGAGGATTAAAGAAGTTATCAAAGCTTGTCTCTCCATTCCAGGGAGCTGCTAGGCCAGGCAAGTCTGAGTCCCTGCAGAGAATCTCTGAAGCCTAAACTGCAGTGGAGACTCAGAACCGTGAGATTCGCTGAAGAAGGCTGCAGGCATGGAGCAGAGTTGGCCCAACAGAGATACCATATGCTGAGGATGGCAGAACTGAAAGGGTGAACCTACCCAGACCATCTGAAGCACAGACAGACGCCAGACATGCAGCTGCGGAGTTGGCGTTTGCCCTGCTGAATTTCAGTCTTGCTTTGTCCCTGTTCTTCCTTGGGATAGGAATGTTTGTGCTGTGCCATTGTTTACATGTATAATTTCTTTATTTTACAGGAGCTCACTGTTTATGAGTCTCAGATGAGACTTTCTGAAATTGTTAAAAGACAATGAGGACTTTTGGATTATGAGATGGTCATGAGCCTATGAGGATGGAAGTAATGCTTTGAAAGTGATGTGTTTGGGTATCAAGTTGACAAAGGGTAGAGTTGTGACGGTTAACATTTTCAACTTGACTGAATTTAGAATCATCAAGGAGACATGCCTCTGAGAGATTATCTAGAATAGATTTGCCTCTGTCTAGACTAGATTTGCTTCTGAGCATGCCTGTGAGGGATTGTCTAGGCTAGATTAGCCTCTGAACATGCCTGTGAGAGATTGTCTAAATTAGGGCAATTGAGGTTGGAAGACCCACCTTTAACTGGGTGGCACCATTCCATGGGATGGAGTCCTGAACTGAATAAAAAGAAGTCTAGTTGAGCATCAACATCCTTTACTTTCTGCCTCTTGA